CCTACGGAACCCCGGAAGGGACGTAGTGGAGGAGAAAAAAATTGGCTTGGTGAAAAAAAAATAATGGGTGAAAGAAAAAAATGGGTGGGAGGAAAATATATATTTCTAAGTTTTTGCGTTCTCTCGCAAAGTTTTGCGTTCCCTCGCAAAGATGTTTTGCGTTCCCTCGCAAAGTTTTGCGTTCCCTCGCAAAGATGTTTTGCGTTCTCTTGCAAAACTGTTTCTCCACAAACACTTCCTGTTCACTGCACTCACGTAAACCCTCTCGTTGTTGCCGAAATCCTCCCGTATTTTACCATTCTACCCCCACTTTCTTTACATTACTGTGCGTCGATCGTCGACTTTCATATGCTACCTCTGAACCAGTGAATGCATGTAAGCGCTGACTGACAGACGCGGTCCATACAATAAACTGATCCCAGATCAGCGTCTGTACACGCCATTTACAGAGGAGCGGGTGTATGTTTAAACAGACAAATACACTAATAATATGAAACATCTCCGTCCTGCATGTTTTATTTTAAGTAGCTTATTTTCTCTTAAATGAGCACAAACATTTTCTAAAGTAATGGAATGCTTTCATTATAGATCTGTGCATTTTTACAGAGCCACCTCTGTTATCAAACAAAACAAAACAAAACATGAGATTCATTTGCTGCTCACTTGTTTGATAACAGAAGTGTCCCAAAATGGTGCGTACAGACGCTGATCTGGGATCAGTTTATTGTCGAGCGCGTCTGTCAGTCAGCGCTTAAACATGCATTCACTGGTTCAGAGGTTGCAAAGTGAAAGGCGACGATCAGCGCACAGTAATGAGAAGAAAGTGGGGTAGAATGGTAAAATATGGGAGAATTTCAGCAAAAACGTGTTTACATGAGTGAAGTGAACAGGAAGTGTTTGTAGAGAAACAGTTTTGCGAGAGAACGCAAAACATCTTTGCGAGATAACGCAAAACTTTGCGAGGGAACGCAAAACATCTTTGCGAGGAAACGCAAAACTTTGCGAGAGAACGCAAAAACTTAGAAATACATATTTTCCTCCCACCCATTTTTTTTTCTTTCACCCATTTTTTTTCACCCAGCCAATTTTTTTCTCGTCCACTAAAACAAGACAATATGTTTTGCTTGCCTAGAAAATGCTTCTTGATATAAGAATTATTTTAGATATTTGGACTAAAAAAAAGACAAAAAATCTGAGTACGAAAAGTATTTTTGAAGTGTAGAGAACAAATTTTATATTAGTACTGGATTTAAGTTCTCTTTTAAATTCAATTATCATTTAAATTACTCAGACTTTCCACATTAATCTTAACTGGAAATCTTGAAAAATATAAAAAATGAATGATAAATCATTTTAGGAAGAAAGAATTTCCCAAAGGAACTGAACTAAACTTTAGGTGTGTCCCAAATTACATACTTATGTACTATTTTATGCCATTTTGTAGTATAAATAGTGTAAATAATGTATTCAAACTGAAAAGTCTAAAATAATAAGTGCACTTTAATTACCCGAATGATGCACTTATTCAACCGGTAAAATGAAGTGTGGAATGATGGACACTTCACACACTCAATGGCCGCAGCTTTGCTCACGCAGCGGAAGGGGCAGAGCTTTTGGGTATTATACCACCTCCCGATGGTGAATGCGGTTATACTTATGGCAGGTATTATTTCAGGGGTGTCCAAACTCAGACCTGGAGGGCCAGTGTCCTGAAGAGTTTATCTCCAACCCTAATCAAACCCACCTGAACCAGCTAATCAAACTCTTACTAGATATACTAGAAACCTCCTAGCAGGTGTGTTGAGGCAAGTTGTAGCTAAACTTTGCAGGACACCGGCCCTCCAGTGTTTGGACACCCCTGTATTATTTGGTACTTTGGTCATTTATCTTACTAATTTGGCAACTGTCAAACATCATCAGGGAAACCATTTGAATTTCCGCTTAGTAAAAAAAACTGTAGTGTTCCATTTGGGACAACACTGCAGACATATATGCTGTTGAGTGTGTAAGTCAGGGTTGGCCACCCCTAGTGTAAGTGCATAAGTAGTGTATAGTGGGGCGCACCTTTTAACTGTGAAAGCTGCACTGAAGCAGTTCCAATTTACTAGAACTTCATCTATGTTTAGTGGCTTTGACACAATCTACAATCTAAGTGCTATAGAAATAGAAAGAGGAAGAGATAAAACATTATTAAAATGAATGAAAATACGACAAAACAAACAAACAAAACTTCTAATGTAAAATCTATCACCATGAAATCTATTATGGTTAATTGTAAATATAAAATTTAAGATACGATAAATATTAAAATAAGTCAAATTAACAGCATCGTAGACAAGATAAAAGCATTCCATTGGAAATCAATAACAGTTGTTAAATTACAACTTAATTACTACTTTACGTAGATGCATGTAAGACACGGCATGCTTGTTAACTGCTACATGTTAATGAGGGTTATCATAACATAATCAATATTACATGTATCCACAACTTACCTTTACCCTTTGTCTGAAAAGTGCCCGAGCAGTGAAACCACGCCATGTTTTTTGTATTAAAATTGCGTTTTTATGCAGATGTCTGAAAAAAATAAAAGAACACTCTGTGATTATACCTCTACACTTTCAAACGTTTAACATCCTTCCTCAAAAAAAAAGCTTTTTTTATCCTACCAATCCGTGGTAAGTTTTCCTCAGACAACTGTACATTTGCATTCATCATTAACCACCCTCTAAATGCATGTCTATAGCAACTCTGAACTCAACATGGCCATCAATTTCCAAAAGGCCATTTATAACTCCAAAAAATCAATGCGTATAGGGACGGTGGCAACCCTGGAGCTGCACTCAAGAAGCCTAGATTGAGCTTAATTAGCCACTTAACACATTGATCAATTAACTAAAGTAATCTAAATTAACCTACTGTCTGGGAGTTTGTCTGCTCACTGCACAGAAATATGTTGAGGTTACACACTGTAGCGCCCTGCGCACTGGCTATTTCTTGCATTTAAAGACCAAATGCATTTGATTTAGGCTTTAGTGACCACTTACAGGTAAATGCTGAGAATATAGAATTAACACATCCGTCTACCCTATATAATATATAAGTGGTATGGAGTGAAGCTGTGGTCACTCATTGCTTCAGTGGCTTTAGTTCATGACATTGTTTTCCCAAAGGCTTTTTAAAAAAAAGTCATGTAGATGGGCTTTCATTGCTTTAAGAAGTGAATTATAACAATCTAAACATTATTAAATTTGACAAAAATACATAACGTAAAAGACTACTTTAAAGAGATTGTTCAGGCCATTCAAGAGTTGACTTTTTTTCTACTGGCATCTGATATAAACAAAATAATTTAAAACAATTTTATAAACTGCCTTTGCCAGTGTTCCAGAGGATGGTGAGTATGAATCATTGGCTGATAACATTTGGTTGCAACTCCTTAATGTACAGTGTAGCATCCAGGATAAGGTACATTATTTTTTTCCCTTCACTGACAGGACAGTGGAGATTGACAGACAGGAAAGTATGGGGAGCAGAGATAGGGGAAGGATCAGCAAAGGACCCTGAGCTAGGAAACGAACTCAGGTTGCTGCAAGCACCTGGATAGACTAACCACTAGGCCATTGGCGTCAACATAAAGTACATTCTTATGTATAATACAGCAGGTGGACTCTCAATCACTCTATTGTAAACAGACAGTAAATAATGTACATTATTTTATAAAATTCTGTTTCTTAACACATTGAATGTTTTCTTTAACTTAAATGCATTGTTAGGAGCTAGTGGAATTCATTCTGTTCTCCCTGTATGTTTATTTTATTTTTTGACTCTCAGTGCTAGTAGTTTTTGACTGGATGGTCATACATTAACAGCAATTTTACATGTTTGACTGAACTATCCCATTAAATGTCTAATAACAGATTTTTTTTAAATAAAAAAATATTTATAAATATAACATTATTGATATAAATATTTATAATGATGCAGTATTGCATTTATTGCAAATATGCACACACATTACTTTTTATGGCAGTTATTTATTTATTTGTATTTGACAAGTCGTCACCTTGGAATTATAAGGTTCTATCTGCGTCAATAATACAAAAATGACAAGATAAAACCTTGTAATTTTAAGGCAACAAAGTTTTTTTTTTTTTTTTTTTTCAGAAATGAGCAATGTTTCTTTTTGAATGCTGCTGGTAAACGTTGCTGCCGGTACAGCAAGTCTGTCTTTTAACAGTTAGGTTACAGTATTTTCAAAAATTAAGTACATGATTGAAACAACTTAAAAAATATAATCAAAACAAAATGAAATGCATTCAAATAATTAATTAAAACAGGAGGCCTTGATTATATGTGAAAAGTATGCAACACTACAGAGGTTATTACCAAGACTAATTCTAAAACAGGACTGTCACTTATTTCAATACAAAAAAAGTTTAAATATTAATGCTGAAACTTGCCAAATTGATAGTTTAACTTAAGATGTATTGACAGATGGAAAAAGAGATCTCAAAAGTTTTGTCTTACCTGATGTACGCTCTCACCTGACAGCCCCTGAACCAGCTCTGAATCCTGACCGCTGCCTCATTCTCTTTCTGTCGGTTTTCCTCCGCAATCCTGTATCATGATATGCTTTCACTGAGTTTACCGAGTTATTACAGTGTTATTCTTATCATCATATAATCATATACATATATTGTATATGTGTTTTGCTATTCTTGTTGAAAACAGTACAGTGAAGAACGAACTTGTAGAGAATAAACGTTGAGATATGGGTTATTTTTACTTATATAACGTTAAAACATTATAGCTTAAGAATACTTCGCATTATTTCATTACCTGTTTCTGATGAAATGTTGCTCTTTGATGAGATCAACCTGACGGTAAAGTTTCACAAGTCTCGCCATCATTCCGGAAGTTTGAAGGTGTCCATGACAACAGAAACTCTCGTGTGCGCGAGGGGAGAGCGAGTGCACGCTAGGCTCCGGCTTGCGCAGTTGAGGAAGTGTAGTGCACGCGTCTGTTCAAATCAGCGATCACATGCGAAACTCAGCTCTGTTCGATGTTTGGTAAACATACTTTTCCTCAACAGCGTTTTTAAGTTTAACCAAAGATACAAAATGTTAATACGTTTGGTCTTAAATAACAAACTTGTGCTACATGTTCTTCCTGTTTTTGTTTATTTCCTGTCAGACATCCGAATAAATTGTTTTAGCTTATAATATACATTTACTTTGTAATTAAGTGCTTTACTTATGGTTATGTTTTATAGTATTTAACTTTTCCATAAAATGTACAGGCTTTTAATTTCTGTTTATTTCATTTGTTTGTTGGTTTATTAATGTTTTTATTATTATTTATTTTTGTCCGTAATATATTTGAAAATTATAGTGTTCAGTTCTGTAAATAAATAACCACTTCATAAATGTGTCCTGCGAAGGAGATCCTGTTTTTTTCTTTTCTACTTTGAAACATGATTCCTAACAGATCTTTTGAGATAAAGACAATATCATCTTTTCACAAACTACTTCTCTCTGTTCTCAGATATTCTGTCTGGATGTGATACAGGCAAGATACAAGACGTCCTGCGAGTTCCCGGCAATACAGATAACCGCTGACAGACGCCAGCCAATTTGCTGTCCCGCCGCACCAGAGCAAGGCACTAGAAATATGGGCTGAGGAGTGACCCTTTGGCTGTGTCGCCCATCCATCCGAACCTGGTGGTGGGCTGGCCACCGTGGTAATTGCCTGCGAAACAGTGTTTTGACAAGCCAGACGGGTGTAAGCCATCATTCTAGCAGCACGGTGATGAGGTGTCACCTGGAGAGAGCTGTTGAGAGCCCACATGTTTACATGCAGCCAGGTGACCCAGTTTTGCCCTGCATCAGACCACCACTGCATTCTTCACTTTGGTTTCATTTCTCTGAATCACACTTTACTAATTTTGTTTGTCAGTGCTGAAGGCGGGTTCTAGGGGAGATTCATAGTCTATACTATAAAGCTCTTTATAATTTGATTTGCTTTAATACCTAATCTTGAGACTCATGAAAGATTACCCAAAGATAAAAAACAAACAAACAAACTATTCAGAGTGCTAATAGGGATTTTACGCCACAGACTTGTGTATTGTGTTAAACAGGTGATTTCAGGTAAGGTTTTTGTATGTGCTTTGATTCGGTTAAAAGTCACTTTTTATGTTGGATAAAAGTGATAGCACTCTTGAAGTTCAGTGGTTTAAAGTTATTTATATATATTGTATTTATATCATCTGTCGCATGCCTAAAAAAATCTTCATCAATTAAATAGTTCAGTCCATTCATTGTGACCGAAAGCCTTGCCTGGCTATAAACATTTGTACTTGCATACCTCTGCGCACCCTGTTTAGGGGTTATCCCCTTGCATCGTAACGTTTTCTGAATGGTGAATGAGACGTGAGGAAATCCCACTCTTCTCATCCTGTTGTTTGAGTATTTGGTCTACTTGTGCCCAATTGTATCTTTTAGAGGAGTTGTGGACAGTCATTGTCCAGGGAGGGCAGGGTGTTTGGCTTTTTAAAGCTAGCTTGCTATTACTAGCCTCTCCCAAATCACCTACCTTAACTTTAAATGTAGAATATGTATAATTCAGAAACACTTTTTTTAATCGATAAATAAGACAAAGAAGTGCACTGCAGCCGGCGATTCATTGCTCTTGTTTGCACTCATGTGTAACCTTATATTCTTATAGCAGTTGCTCTTCATTGCTTAAAAAGAGTGAAAAAAGTATGACATTTCTTTGCAGTGATATTCTAATAACGAACACGATTCCATTTAGTATAATCTAGATGCTGATGAAAGCATTGTTTTGATTAGTATGTGCTGAGCCTTTTCTGGACAATGTCAAGATGACAGTGGTGAAAAAATAGCAGTAAAGAAAGCATTTGATCATAATGAGGAGAATATATTTGCACAAGCAAGTAGCTGACAGCATAAATTTTTTTAGATAAAATATCACGGTTTCACAGTATTGTGATCACTGCTCTAAAATATGTTCTTTTTAAAAGTCTAAGTCAAAGGTGTCAAATCCAGTTCCTAGAGGGCTGCAGCTCTGCGCAGTTTAGTTCCAACCACAATTAAACACACCTTATCAAACTAACTGAGTTTTTCAGATTTGTTGTAAGTGTATTGAAGCTGGGTCGGAACTAAAGTGTGCAGAGCTGTGGCCCTCAAGGAACTAGATTTGGCACCAGTGGTCTGGGTTAAAAAAAACAAAAAACTTTTTCCCCCATTGAACAAAATAAATTTTATTTTAGGAAACATTTCTAATATTTTGGAACAGGAAACATGTAAGGCTAAATAATGAACATAAATCATTGACTTCTGCTCTCTTCATTAGTTTCAAAAACATTGATTTCTTTACAACACAAAAAAAAAACAGAAAACTTTTACACATTCCTTTTTTAAGTTTTTTTAAACCTCGACTTTTCCAATCTTCGGTAATCCTTGAAACCAGTTAACGTCCCATGCATACAAGCAATTCGCCAGCATCATGTAAACACTGGATAATGCTGGATAATTCAAATTACTGTCATGATATTTTGATTATTAATGAGCATATTGATTGTCATTTCTAGCTGTTTAAACATTGTCAAATAAGAGATTAGTACATCAAAATTTATATAGCACCTTATAGGACATTTTGCTTAAGATGCATTCAAAGAAGCACCCGAACAAGCATAACATAAATAAGATGTGCAAAGGGAATGCATATAGTTTTTTCTTCTTCTCACTCACATTTGGCTAAAGTTTTTATCAAAAGACCAAACATATCGCAGTTAATGAATCATGTAGGATGATACCAGTTTTCTACATGTGACTTTCAGCATAAATCCTATTAATATGCTTCTGCTAAGCAAAATAGTGAAATGCCTCATTCAAAATCAAATACTGTAATTTGATTGAAAATCCACCACACATTTTTCTTTATCCTCACAATGCTGCGACCATGTAATTGCAATGATGGCCGTTACTGCTTCTGGATGATATCACCTTCCCCCCTCTTCCTTTGTTTCCCTTAAAGGATAAAGGTGTGACTGTTCCGGTGCAAGAGAAAATCATATTTTTATTAGCTGGCCTTTATCTGGGGAAAAAGGTAATGAATTGAGTATTGTGTAAGATGGTTTAATCTGCAGGTGTTCTATCATTATTTGCAGTGTGGTTCCACTGAGACAGCGGTAATCCATTAAGAAGGGGGCTGATCCTGCGAGGGGTTTGATGAAGTTGAGGCTCCTCTGCCCCATGCAGAAGGGCGTTTAGTGCTGCCGGCCCCACAGCTAGTGTGCAGGGATATATCACCTGCGTACTCACTGTTTCATCATCGCTCTCTCTTTCTCTGCTCACCAAACAATCCTTAGCGTATCCGACTGAGTGACCAATAGCAAGGCAAACTCTTTTTTTCTTTTTGTCTTAAAACACAATAAAGAAGACTCTATTATGCATGGCGAACAGCTAAAAACTCATTAAGTTTCCACTCTATATGACTTCATTAAAAGCGTACACTAGCATGCATGATGGAATTATATCGTGCAAGCTATAAGTACAGCATCTATGCCTGCTGCTTATTATTCATCATCAGGTAATTCATGTTATTTTCCATCCTCCTTCTGTTTTGCATTTCCTTTCTTCCCTCTTCATCTTCTACCGTTCTCTCTGGCAGACGTAATATCAGCTAGAGGAGTGCACTGTTTCATGTCCCGAAGAAAGGCTTAGCTCACGTTTGATTGAGGTCTCTTCCATCTCACACAGGCGCCGTGTTTGTGGATACGGTGCCAGAGAAGCAGATGCAAGGGCCTATTTGATGGCAGCAAATAATAAAACGTATCATTTGCGTTTGCAGTTTCTCCTCCACTGTATCAGGCGCACAGATGCTGCGGCGCAGTTTTATTTGCCAAAAATCATATGGACTGTAGTTAATGGAATAGGGAGTGTTTGCCATCCAATTTTGAAGAGAAAATAAATCAAGCCATGTTCCTTTCTGTTATCTGGCTTTGGCTGTGAACATTCACCGTAAGCACAAACTTGCTTCTTTTTATCGCTTTACCATTCATCTGTCGGTTAGCCCTTCATCTCTCTATTGAGTTGGACTGTTTTTGTTTTGCGGCTGTTGTGTTGTTGTCATATAGGAATTGCCTAGAGGCCATGAAAAAACCCAATTTAAATCCTCTTGGGCAATGTTACACCGTAGTCGCATTTCTGTGGTGTTTACTTCCACTCTAAAATTCGTTTCGTATGAGAGGAACGTAGCGTAGCACTTGAAACATTTGCAAAAAGTAGAACAGCTCTGCATTGCCAAGATTAAGCGAGACTTTGATTTCTGGAGCTCACCGGTGGCAGAATTATTACGCTGTTGTTAATAATGGCGTTTTGAGAGTAAATAAGACTACAAGTCTCCTGGGATGTACTTGTCACAGTGTTGTTTGGGTTTGTGAATTTTATTGTCATACAAATCCTCTTGCATGCGCTTTTCTTTTGTCTGCCGTGTACTGTATTTACACTCGCTGAAACATAAAATGACATTTCCTTCCTGCGGGGAGCATCTTTTGATGATAAAAACATGACAGTGCATCTATTCAAACATTGCTCCGTAGTGTGATCGGTAATCAAATGTGATAACTTTAGTTGTGACTTTGGTTTTGATTATTTCCTATTCTGCAGGGCTAAAAGGATGTCTGAGGCAACAATCTGCTGTCTGAGTTAAATCCGTGATTTATTCAAAGTCTGACTAGCAAGACTAGCTGTGTTGTCTTGTTTTGGCATTTTATGATTGTACAATAATAGCATACATTTTTGGTTTGTTGCAGTTGATAAAAACAGAAAGCGCTGTCATACAAACATTTTTGTGGTGTGATCTGCATCATTGAAGTATGATGACTTTGAAGTTATGAATTTGTTTTTTATTGTCTTCTTTTTTTTCTAAAAATGTCTAATTCATAGGTTAATATATTTATTTAGTAGTCAACATTTGAAGTAGTTCAAAACCTTTCATTAAAGTTCAGGGTGTCCATGGGGTCTTAAAAAGTATTAAAAGTTGATAAATCAATGTAGAGAAATTGAAGACCCTTAAAGTATTAAAAGTCTTAAATGCTATTTTGCAAGGTATTAAATTGTATATTCTTTTTGATTATGCAATGTATAGTTGTATGCTAAAGCTTGCCTGAATTAAATTTGTGAACATCAGTCAATAAAATCCTGGATACATTCGACATCATGCTGCTTTGTTTATTACAGTAACCAAGGCAGCACTGTTAATTCTGCAGGTCTATAGGCATCAACCTGCGAATAAACTAGATTTAATATATTTTTATTCAGTATATGAATAATGTTTTAGTTTTGTATAAGTTTCTTACATTAATATTTAGTAAATATACTGTAAGTTAAAATCTTGCTATGTTTCTGGTTGAAAAGTGGATAAAGTGGATATAAGGTTTTAAAATGTATGGAAAGAGTCCTAAAAATGACTTAAAAGGTATTACATTTCACTCTCTGATTCTTGTATATACTCTGAAGTTGTCCTATAATTATTGAACACCTATTCTTGTCTTAGAACAATTTTTAAAAACGTATTTGATCCTCTTCACAGTGAGACATATTTATTTATTTTTATACATTATATTAATTAATTTAAAATTAAAATTGTTAGCTTTTTGTCTCTTTAAAGTATGATTTATAAATATATATATATATATATATATATATATATATATATATACATCAAAAAATGATTGCAGACAAGTGTAAAACAGTTTGTAATTGCTGGGAAATGAATTGAATCTAGCACCAAAGTAGTATACCAAGTGATCCATCTTATGGATGGGAGGGAGGCAGCTCTCGTAAAGACCTTGACCTCTGAACTCTGGCCTATTTTAGTCATGGTCCAGCATGCTCCATCCAGGGCCCGATCCCATTTCTAGCTTTTGGTTTGCTTCATTGCCCACCTGAGCCAGGCAAAGGATTTGTTGCCTATTTACTCGCCTCTATTTCAATGGCTCTGTCCACTTTTATAGGGGCTATTACTACTGAAAGATTAGTTTTCATGGGTCTGATGA